CCACTACTAGGAATATACTCTAAGGGAACCAGAGCTGATACCCAAATAGATATATGCACACTCATGTTTAATGCTGCCTTGTTCACAATTGCAAAGAGATGGAAGCAACCCAAGTGCCCATCAACAAATGAATGGATAGAAAAACTATGGTATAGCCACACGATGGAATATTATGCAGCACTGAAAAACAAGCAACTAAAAAAATATTACACAACATGGGTGACCCTGGAGGATTAGTGAACTATCTCTGTCACAAAATGACAAAAACTTCATGACACCACTGTTATAAAATAGTACTGACAAAAAAAAATAAAAAATAAAAAAAATAGTACTGACACAGGGTTGTGGGGAAACTGAGAAAAGAAGGGACAAAAATGAACACTACACTGGAGCAGATGAAGGAAAGAATGAATATATGATTAGACATGATATGTAAGACAACAGCCTAGAATAAGAGGGACATTGCAAAATGGACTGGGCAGAGAAAAGTGAGGGAGGTAATTGTGCAATAATGAACAAATTTTTAAAAAGTGATCTGGGGGCGGCAGAAGAGAGGGAGAGGTAAAGGGTGCTAACTTTTCTTTAAATTTTCATCAAAATGTAAAATTTTATTAAATAAAAACATACACCTACTCTTCATTTATGTAATTTCCCACTGTCTGACATTTGCATTTATAATAAGAGTGAAGAACAAACCATCCAGTTATTTTGTATATTCAAAATGTGGCAGGAATGGAGTTGATGGACGTGGAGTGTTCTTTTGGTCACGCCAGGCCACTTGGAGGCGTGTGGGGAGCTGGGCTGAGCTGTCCCACAGCCTCTGCTCCTTCCTGATGGAAGGAATGCTGTATTCAGCTGGCAAGCGGAGCCGTAGTCAAGGCCTCCATACTGACACTTAGGCAGCACCAAGCTAGTGGTGGCTGTTCTGGCTTCCCAGCTCCTACGTAGCCTGAAGCTCTTAAACTCAAAATTCCTACAGGACAGGATAGGAGTGAGTCGATATTTGGAAGATAAGCCCTAGATTTTCATAACTTCTAAATGTGAGCTGAACAGGGTCAGACGCTTCCATGTTGGTGGGGCTGGTGCTTGGCCACTGTCCCAGTGGACGACGTCCCAACTTAACAGAGGCTCCACAGGCCTTGAGAGCAGAGCATATTCAAGGACTGTCAAAGCAGAGCTTCCGGTGGAGGGAGTGGAGCTCTGAGGTAGCTCCATGTAAGAAGCACTTAATGAGCAGAGACAGGAGGTAAGGGAGCTAAACCACGGGCCCTCCAGGCACACAGCCTGGTTTCAACCAGTCTGGACTCCTTCAAGCCTTCTCTGCTCAGGAATTAGTCATGACCACACTTGTCATAGTGATGAGCACACCAGTAGATCTTACACCTCACACATGCAGTAGTCACTTCTGACTCCTGGTAACCCTTCAGCATAGAGCAGAACTGCCCCACCAGAATTCTAAGGCTGTAATCATTTGAGATGCTAATCTTACTTGGATCTCAACCCAGCACCCTTGGCATCAGCAGTCCAGAAATAAAAAAAAAAAAAACTGTGTTGCACTGGAAAAGTCTGCTATCAAGGACTTCTTCAAAGTGCTAAAGAGTAATGGTGTCAGTTTACAGACTAAGGTGTGTCTGATCCATGCTGTGGTATTTTTAATTACTTGTTATGCATCTGAAAGTTGGACAATGAATAAGGATGACAGAAAAATCACTACCTTTGAGCTGTGAAGTTGGAGAAGAGTGCTGAACATCCCATAGGCTGCCAAGAGAACAAAAAGGCATCCTGGAGAAAGTGAAATCAGAGTGCTCCTTGGAAGCAAGCCCGGTCAAACTTTGTTTCATATACTTTGGGCATGTTAGGAGGGAGCAGTCCTTGGAGAAGGACAGCACACTTGGAAAGGTGGATGATGAGTGTGAAAGAGGAAGGCCCTCAACAAGACAGATTGACACAGTGATGCTGCAATGGACTCAAGTGTGTCAGAGACAGTGACAATGCCACATAATAGAGTGGGGTTCAGATCCTGTTTTTCACAGTGTTGCTATGAGCTACCGTCAATTCAATAACATGAAATCATCAGTAACAACAATATTCATGGAAGCAGATCACCTTTTGCCTATGGAGCGACTGGTAACTTTGAACTGCTGACTTTTCAGTTAGCAGACTCCTGCTTAATCCACTGAGCCACCAGAACTCCTTAGTCAATCTTGGCTGTTAGCAACATTTATGAACACACTTTTCCAATTTTTTTTTAAAAAATCAGACAAATGGCAGGTTTGCAGATAAAATATTTGCATTATCACCAAGTTTTGAATGACCTGGTCGTTTTGAATGACCTGGTCGTTTTGAATGACCTGGTCGTTCAACATATCCATGTTGATAAGTGAGGAAAAAGAGACACAGAGATAGAGTGTAAGTGGAAGTCTCTGTGTGTTTGCAGGTATGTGCATAAAACAACAAACCCTTTGCTAGTGAGCTGACACAATGTGTCACAATATGTTTCATTGATTATGCAAAGCCATTTGACTGCGTGGATGATAACAAACTGTGGCTGACTCTGAGAAGAATGGGAATCCCAGAACATTTAATCGTGCTAATGCGAAACCTATACTTAGACCAAGAGGCAGTCGTCAGAACAGAGCAGGGCAACACTGCATGGTTCAAAATTGGGAAGGGTGTATGCCAGGGATGTGTCCTATCTCCATACCTTTTCA